CTGTGGCGTTTGAGCCGCCGGCCACCGCCCCCCCCCCTCCGGGCGGCCCGCCCCCTGCGGCGTGCCCCCCTGCCGCAGGACGACGGCGACGACGGCGACGGTGACGACGACGACGACGACGGCGGCGGCGGCGACGACGACGACGATGACGACGACGACGACGACGGCGGCGGCGGCGGCGGCGGCGACGGCGGCGGCGGCGGTCTCCGGCGGCCACCGGCGGCCACGGACGACGACGGCGGCGGCGATGTCGGCGGCGGCGACGATCACCGACGACCAGCGAGGAAGCTCACGGCGGCCACGACGGCCACGGCGACGGCGTCGGCGCCGACCGTGACGACGGTGGCTGCGGCGGGCCCTGGGAAATGCGTTCGTTCTCGATCGATTTTCGGGGCCCAGGTTCATAGGTTTCTTGCACGTGTGGGGGGGGGGGCAACAGCTCAACCGGAAGGGAAGGGTTGGGAATGGCAGGGGCAGAATGCGACGCATCGCACGCAGATCACAGAATGGTCGAGGAGGCCAGGACAACAATGATGAGGAGCCCCGTATGATGGGAGGCTGACGGAACAGAGAGGACAGCAGTCAACGCAAAGGAGGTAACGTGGCGGAGGCGCCGCCTCTCTATGTCCTGAAGCATAGTGCGTTGTGGACTCTGTATGGCTCCAGCACGGTGTTCATGACAGCTTGGGTTGCCCTCTTGGGGCTTTGCTTACATCTCTCGGGCCCGCGGATCATTGTGACTCCATCTTGAAGCCTCATAGCCCCATCGGAAGCCGAAAAGTTTAAAAAGTTACACATCGGATATTTGATGGTGTTTGCGTAATTAAATGTTTTCTGTTGCTGGCGGAATTTCTCGGGTGGATCGAGGGCCATTTCGGGATCATGTTGGGCCATCGTTGGCTATTCGGGCCATCTCGTGTCATTTTGGAGACAGTCTGCACGATGGTAGATGCTCCAACCCTCGCGACAGGGGAGAGGCCCAGACCCCAGGGGAAAGGGTACGGGGGGGGGATCAACTGTTTCTCGAAGGTGAAGACGTGCTTGTTTTGAAAGAGCTGACACCCTGAGCCGCCGACACCCTCAGGGCCGATCAGGTACATGCCTCGCTCCCCGAATCGCCCTCCCTCCATCCGCCCGCCACTCCCTCGTAGGGTTCACTCCGGGTCCCTCCGCTCTGGCCTGCAGTGTGGGTAACTGAGTGGGCGACAGTGCGCGACGGTGTGCGCCAATGCGTGTCTTTGTGCTGGCTCGATGCGTGGGACCCCTGCGCGGAGCCCGGCGGGTTACTGCGCGAGGGCCCGGCGCGCCCTCTCGTTTCCTCCGCTTGCTGCTCGCGCTCTTTCCTTGGTGCCGTACTTTGCCGCGTCGCTGCGCGCGCGCGGCCGCGACGCCCGAGAAACATGTTCGTGTGGCCATGGCTCGACGTTGATGTTTGTTCTGGTTCCTGCCTGTCCTCTGCACTTTCCTCTTTAGTCTCTTGTGCGCTTGGCTGTCTAGGCTGCTCGGTGGCTCTGCTCGGCATCGCCTCTCTCGAGATTGCCAGTCCAGCGTGCGTCTGCACAGAGGGTGGCCAAGTCATTGCTCACGTGGCCCGTGGTTTTGCACACGTCGACCAGAGTCTTCGCTACAACGGCATCCCCGTTCAGGTTGATCATCGCCAGCGCAGTTACTCTGCCTAGCCGCCGACGTAAAAAAATGTGTGCCTGTGCTGACCAGCTCACGCACGGTCAGCCTCGTGCGGGATACGCACTGCTACTGGCGCCGCTTCCCAGCCGGCCCGTGCAGAGCATTGCACGCGATGGGTTGGGTGCAACAATTTCGTTCCCACCTTTCGGGGAAACGTAAGACTCGAGTAAGCCAGAACTCGGGTTCGCCGACGTTTTTTGACGAGCGTGTTCTGGATTTTGACGGTTCAGTTTTCGTGGGATGCTTGCAGCGCGGGAGCTCGCGTCAAACTTCTGATTGGGTCCCATTATCTTTATGATGGCCCCGCCGGGCCAACTGGAGTCCCTCGTGCACGAGTCCTGCGTCTCCCCGAACCTTCGAGGCCACTGGCTGGGAGCGCACTTCCGCCAACCATCTTTGCCGCCTCCGCGCTGCGCCCGTATAGTCGGTCTGCGGCCTTCACCACTTCGCGCGCCTCCTTTGTGCGTTTTGGCCTCTTCCACGTGCATCCGCTTTCGCGGCTTTGCCTGCATGCGACTGCGCTCATCCAGTCCACCCATCTGCTACGCCGGGTGGAGATTTGCCTAAGCGTATCCCAGCTTAGACTTGCGACGGTGAAACCACTTTGCCGCTGGAGGAAAAGTTCGCGCGTGTTCACACGGACGTTGCTGTCGACAGCGCCTTTTGACGCGCCGTTGCATCCACACGCCGGCGGAGAAAAGCCAGCGTGAGAGTGTGAATGTTTGTGGCACTGTTCTCGCACAATGTGTGTTCGGCCTGCCCCTCGCCTGAATGAGCACCGCTCTGGCTTGAGCGTGATCGACTCATGGCACGAGCAGTTACAAGTTGCGTTGATTCGCCCGCTCACCCGAGATCTCGCCGATGCTTCGTCGCCGCGCTGGAGGATAGAGTGCTTATGGTGTCAACATGCCCTCACGGCTCGCTTCAATCGCAAACTATTTGGCCGTCGGGGATTGTTGCCATGGCCTCACCGACCACCCTGACTTTGTCCTTCTGGCCGGCCGTGAAAGATGACCGCCACGCCGCGCGCCCACGGGCCATGACCTTCCCCCTCCACCTTGCCCTGCCCATTCTCCACCCCGTCGTCCCCCTCCCCATCTTCGCTGCCGTCCTGCTCGTCATCTCTTTCTCCTCCACTGCCCTCGCCCTCGTCCTCCTCTGGCCTCCTCGATCCTGGACTCGTCCACCTGATATTTGTCATCATCAGTCGCCCGCCTAAAACTCGACGTCCTCGTAGTTCCTCCTCCTCCTCCTCCTCCTCCTCCCCCCCCTCGATCTCCTTGTCCAGCTGGTCTGCCTGTCCGCCGCACGGAGGCCCCAAGAGGCCTCCAGAGGGGCCCCTGGAGACCCGAGAAGGGCCAGGAGCACCCAGCTCCCATCCTCCTCCACCTCCTCCTCCTTTTCATCCCTCCTCCTCCTCCTCCTCATCCTTATTCCTCCTGCTCCTTTTCATTCCTCCTCCTCATTCCTCCTCCTCCTCCTCCTCCTCCTCCTTCTCCTCCTCCTCCTCCTCCTCCTCCTCCTCCTCCTCCTCCTCATTCCTCCTCATTCCTCCTCCTCCTCCACCACCTCCACCACCTCCTCCACCTCCTCCTCCTCCTTGTACTTATGCAGGTCCTTGCTGTGCCAGTACTGTGCTCCAGCCCAGTGCGGGGCGGGCCTCTGGGGTGGGGCTGTCCTAGCGGCTCTCCGCGTCCTGGCCACGAGCGAACGCAAAAAAGAATGCTCGTCGTCAGCGTCGGCAGCAACATCGGCGTCGCCGTCGCCCCTCGGCGGTGTCTGCTGCGGCGGCTTCGTCATCGTCGTCATCGTCGGCGGCGTCGACGGCAAAGTCGTCGGCGGTGATGGCGTCGGCGCTGGCGTCGTCGGCTTCGTCGGCGTCTCCGTCGTCACTGTCGTCGTCTTCGGCGTCATCGTCGCTGTTACCAGAGGAGGGAAAGGCTGAGGGGGAAGAGGGCGAGGGAAGCAAGGAAGGACGGAGGAGTAGGATAAGGGAGGCGGGTGAGGAGGAGGGCGACGAGGGGGAGGAGGGCGAGCAAGGGGAAGAGGAGGATGAATAGAGGAGTGAATGGGGACAAGAAGTACTATGAGGACAAGGAGGAGGAGGATAGGAGGAGCGGCAGGAAGGTGAGAGGAGGAGGAGGAGAAGGAGGAGGAGGTGGAGGAGGTGGATAAGGAGCAACGGGGAGCAGGATGAGGAGTAGCAGAATGTGCAGTGGAGAGGGGAGGGGGTTAGGCGAAGGAGGAGTATGGAGAGCAGTCGACAGGGGGGTGAACAGGAGGAGGAGCCGAGGAGGAGGAGTAGGATTCCAACCACACAATTTTGCCCCCGGCAGCCGCAGGCGCAGCTCGCTGCCCCTCACCCTACGCCTTACACTTTGCTTCGGCATTCTTATTGTACCAAGCCGCCGCATTCATTTTTACGACAGCAGCAGCAACTGGACCACTCATCGCACTCGACACTGTTCCTACCCCATCTCCAAGCGACGGCAGCACTCCAGCCTGGCAAACGGCGACGGCTGTCACCTCAAGCGGCGCGAAGGTAGTGGTTCCACAGTGATGCAGGGCTTCGGATCCCGCCGCAGATCTCTCACTCACAGAGGATCGCCCGACGATTCATAGCACGGCTGCAAGTCCAAGGAGCTATGCTATGCGGCGGGTCCACGGTCATGCACGGCTCCACAGGCAGTGGTGGTCTTCTCATCCACAGGCCACATGCTAACATACACCAGGGCCAACGCCATGCAAGTAGGTCCACGGTAATACAGGGCTCTAGAGCCCGCCCCGGCTTTCTCACCCACGCATGCCAGTTCATCCGACGAACACGAGATGATTGCTTTGAAGAAGAAGCAACACAAGGAGGCCGACTAGGTAGGACCACTTGTTTTGCAAGACGGGTGGATAGCTCCATCTCATGCACCTCCTTGGTGGTGGCCTTCATCGCCAGCACGCGCTGGTGCCTCGGAGGCGACAGCGTGAGTAGCCGACTGTCCACTAGGTCATGACGGAGGCTCTCAACCACCCTTCACTCCCTCCTGGCTCATCCTCCCATTCCTTCTCCTCCTCTCCTCCTCGCCACCCTGCCCCAACCCGCCGGGGGACGCCACCACATCGCTCGCCAGGGCTCACCAACGTCCGTCTTGGCGTGGGCCAAGGCGGCCTCAGAGCGCAGCCGTCACCTCTCGCGCCAGCCGTGCCTACCGTTGGCGACTGCTTGTCGCCACCTCGCCCCGCTTGCCACCGTTTCTGAGACATCTCATTTCGCGCAGTGGCCTCATTTGCGTTGAGAATTTGCCAATGCGTCACAGCGCTCG